CGTACGATAGATAGATATCTAGAATTAGAGTTCTTCCTCTATTCACTCCGAATAGTGCCTATGACATCCTTCCGAGCATAGTAGTTGGCAGTTATGAGTCCGTCCTTTTTCTAAAGGCATTTTGATTCTTCCATCTTTTTTTTAGCCCGTGACACTATGCGGTCGCGCCAGCTCATATCATCAAGCAAGTTCGAAATGTTTCCTTTCCTACAGCCAATCGAAGCTGAAGTCTATCCACCACCTTCAAAGTCAAAAGCAAACGCTGAACATGATTCCTCATACTGCTAACTATGTGACAGGGCACAGGAGAAGATGGAAAAAAAAAATAAAGCATTGAAACAACCGCCCTCCGAACATAGAAACCAAACGCTCATTGGTACCGACCGAAACGAGGAAAGTGTCACGGAGCATGGACACTCGCTAGCTGTATAGCATGTTTGATTCTTTGGTCCGTTTGGAGTAGGGCATTCACTGAGAATCACTCGAGCCCCCTGCACACACTAGATAGCCCGTCGCCAGCAGGCCCTGTCTCCTTCCTTTCTCTCCTCATGCTAGAATTTCGTCAGATAGTCTATCAATAGATTCCTACTGCTCGAGACCGTCACATGCAGTGCAGCATCCAAGGCTTCGTCAGGGAGGTCTTCTGGGATCACGGAGACATCCGCACTGCGTTGTTTGGGGGTATTTTACAATTCTGTGTTGGCGGTAGCAGTCTCGAGGATGCTCAGGGATTGTTTCAGTCATGCTTTTGTGGTTATTCTCCACTGGTGTGTTCCTAAGCTCCATTGTTGATTGTTCCCTCTGCTGGGGTCCAGGGGCTCTGAGTCGCGAGGTTCCGCGTTGCGGCCGGTGGTGCGCGTTTGGGGAGACATATTAATCGCCAGTGCATTTTACGGGCAGTCTCGCCAAAGGAGAGCGATTAGAATGTAAGAAAGAGGAGTTGAGACAGCGTGATGATCGCACTGCGGACTATATGCGTAGTATTGAGAAGAGACTAATCTCTGGTGTGATTAAGTTTGCCCACCGGCACCGCGAAGTTTTGATGCGGAATAATGGTCGGACTGAGAGCAGCGAGGTGCCGAAGGCCAGCACAGATCTGTTAGTTAGAAGACTCAAACACTCGGCCTCAAGCACTCGTGATAGTACGACAGACAATATACACGTATACTCTGAATGGATATCATCCTCTAATCCTACTCCCATATATTGGCCTGACTAGGCTGCATTATCGACTCCTGATATTCCCCTTGGAGCAGTATCCACTTCATACATAACTAATCCATGGATAATAGTGCATTAGTCCGCACGCACAGGTACTTCCGCCTTGCGGAAGCCGCGCTGCGGCCTCCATGCTACACAAGTTCTAACGCCAATTGCTATATCAATTCTAAACACCTACACAAACATAGTATCCCAGCCAAAGTCCCGCACAATCAAATCCAACTTGTGGGTTCCATGCGTTGAACTGCGCCGCTGTAATCCCATTATCCTGCTCAATCTGCCAGCAGTCATCACCACTGGCTACCAAATGCCACGTCTTACAGGTATCTATTGTACCGGGCATTGGCTGGGCGGCTTTGATAGCGACACAGTAGTATTGATCCTTGAGAAGGATACACGCGTCGCCGAGAGAAGGATTCCATTTCGTCAACAGAGCCTGAGTCAGATAGGTGTATTTCTCATTGACGATGGACCAACAGCTGTCCCCGGATTGGGCTTCATAGTATGTTACGCAGTTTGTGACAGTGTCGCTTCCTGTTGGGCCAGGGGCGCCTCCAGATGTGGTTGATGGTGCCGTTGTGGTTTTGGAAACGGAGGTTGTGGAGGCGGAAGAGGAGGAGCCTGTGAGGGTTTATATTTGTTAGGATATCTGGTTGGCTTTTGGGGGTTTGTGAATTGGGTAGAATGTGCTGACCTGAAACGCCGACGCAGACATAGGCCTTTGACCACAATGTCGTGCAGGTTGATCCTGTAGCGGGATTCCACTCGTAGAATTGTTGCTGGGCGATGTCGTGTTTGCTGGCAATGGTAGCGCAGTCATCGTCGTCGACAACCCAGTACCATTTGTTACCTGTTTAATTATTATAGTCAGAAGGGATTGATCTGGTCTGTGTAGATATAGGAGTAAAATGGTGGACATACAGTTGGATGGAATGCCAGTCTGCTGCGGCTGGTGACCGGTTACAGTGGCCGAGCCTGTCGCGGTTGGAGACGAGACAGGAGGCGAAGTAGGCGTGGATCCATCGCCAACGCAAACATAGTATCCAGGCAATAGACCCTCGCAACCTGTGGAGATTGACCTGTTTTGGCATCAGAAACAGCCGATTTAGGAAGGGGATCCGGGGATCTTACGGGTTCCATGAGTAGAACTGCTGGAGAGTAAAGCTCGTGAAGCTGTCCTGGATAGTGTAGCAGGTGTCACTTTTCTGGACCAGGTAGTACTTCTCGCAGCTGGAGGAAACACCACTCTGTGTGGGCGCCGCCGTGCCCGAGTATGTCAGAGTACCAGCAGGTGTCGGAGTCGCAGTGGTGCTGGATGAAGTGACAGGGTTCTCGGGGCCGGCAACGCAGTAGCTCCAGCCACGAACCAAGGTGCACGAGTAAGGCACCGAAGGGTTCTAAATCAGTCAGTTATTCGAATCGTGTGACCAGATATACGATTGATTCACGCACCCAAGAGAGGAATTGCTTTTCGGTGATGCCAAAGTAGGCCTCGATTGACTTACAAGAGTCACCAGTATCAAGATCGTTTATCCAGTACTCACATCCCTCAATCACACTGTCACCAGTTGTTCCAGTTGCCGTATCACCGTTAGTCCACTTGTGCTGGAGGGTCGCCGTGGCAGACGCACTCAGGCATAGGGCTGGGAGAACGACGCTCGGTCGGACCATTTGTCTGAAGGTGCTGGTGCCCAGATCTGTGAATGTTGATATCACTAGAAGTCAAGGAGGGCCAGGGTATAACAAACGCCGAGCGAATATATCCGAAGGCCCCCTTTTGGGGCTCTCTGATAGCAAATATAAATGCCGCATTGGCCCCGAGCAAAATAATAGACCAGTCTAGAGCCCAGACGTTTCGATATCTGGAGATCCACTTAGCTTGTAACCGATGCGTCTTATTAAATACATGCCAATTTGGCCCCATCGGAAGGGCCTTGCCGTTGGATTTGAGGCTACAATACACATTGTATCTCCGTCAGATTTTGATCGATTGGATCGGCACCAACAAACTACTGCCATAAGGCTGATCACTGATTATCACTTGCCTGATACAGATCATTCATCTTTGATCTTCAATGTATAAACTGACACTACATCAATTCTGCAATCCAACGCTTCCTCTTAGTCAAAAAAAATCTGCATCGGGTCAACTAGTACAGAAAATTTAGTAGTCAACAATTTCACTAGTTCCCATCCCCACCATTCTATAGTCGCGCGTGAGAAGATTCAACAATGTGAAACACTCCGGTGATTGCGGATTGCCGGGTTTGTCTAGCGGCCGCCACAGCTCCACCAGCTCACGCTAACAGATAATACCTAAGATCCTGCGCGTTGACCAAGACCCTGTTAATGCCGAATGCCCCTCAGTGGGGTCCCGAGGTCAAATCAGTCAGGCCCTGAGGCCCTAGTTTTTAAACGAGATGACGGTGGGAACAATGTGGCCGGAAGCAGACCGAAATTGCCAACACAAGGTTTTTAATGCGGCCGAACAACTCCAATGGGCCATTCTGGTCGGATGGTGAAGGAATGCAACACCCTGTTAATTGAGGGAAAATATACCTCATAGTCGGTTGCCGTTGTTGGAAATTACGCGATGCGTCAAGGGCTGTTAGATAGGCATATGCATGTATCTATGTACATATCTACTGTACAGTTGTGCAGTTGTGCATATCTTCGTTTGTAAAACCAGGAATAGAAAGAGAGAGAGAGAGAGAGAGAGAGAGAGAGAGAGAAGGGGACCAATTTGAAAAATGTGTGATACAAGAAAAGGTACCCAATCAATCCTCATCATCCTGAACCTCGTCATCCTCCTCTTCCTCTTCGATCTCGGTCTCGTCGGAAATAAACATACGGTGAAAATTTGGCCGACGAGTGCCATCCCCGTCCTCCTCCGCCCAATTTTCCTTGTCAACGTCAGTAAGTGCAGCCAAGGTCGCACCCCGAGACTCCAACAAGTCGACCATATCCTGGTCACCCTTCATTTTAGCAGTGTAGAGTCCAGCATATCCGTACTGTAAAACATTTAATCCTTCATCAAGAAGAAGTCTCACCATAGACTCATCCTCATGTAGTACAGCTAGCTTCAACGCTGTTGCTTGCGGCCCCACGCCATGTTCGAGCAATACAGGGATAATATCCCGTTGATCATCTTTCACAGCGCGATATAACGGTGAAGGGACATACAGCTCTGGATCAGCACCACGCTGAAGCAGCAACTTTACTAGCTCCAGATTCCCGAACTGCACCGCAGTGAAGAGGGGCGGGTAGTCAACCTCCTTATCATGCCACCAGTTGCGAGTATGTTGAGGAATTGGGCATTGAACGCGTCCCCCATAGTAGAAGTTGGCCTGTGCACCAAAATCCAGCAAGACGGCCACGGTTTCGGTATGGCCACCCTGAATTGCCACCACTAGAGCGTGCTGGATATTCACAACACTCGGTATGCTGTATCCCTGTTGGAAAAGAGGGTGGGTAAAAATATCCTGATAGTAAGGATCCATGGGGTCCCATCTTTTTCGTATTCTCCTTGGCACCGTGTCTTCTTCTTCTTCGTACATTTTTGGCGCCTTGTCTTCCGTTGCTTCTATCACTGCCAGGGATGCTTGAGGCTGGTTGCGGACAGCATTCAGCCCGTCCAGCAAACTTTGAACTTGTAAAAAGAGGTTCCGCTCGGCGACAAAAGAGAGCGCGGCTCCATGCTTATACTGGCCATGAAAGCAATACAAAAACTTGATGAGTGTTTTGTATAGATGACGATTGGTCCGGATCAAGGCGTAAATGTCCCTTTGGTGGCAAAAGCATGATGCGATGGTCCACAGGATCTCAGTAGGTAGTTGGACGAGCGCCATTACGGGAAAGTAGATGAATTCAATCCCGCAAGTGCATGTATGTACAGGGGAAGTTGAAAATACGTAGAAGCGTATATGGACGATTTGGCTCCAGAGGCTCTAAGCCGTATGTGGTTAGCGTGAAAAGCGATGTTGATTTAGTCCGCCGTACGTGCGAAGGGTTGGTGCGCTTGGCACGGCTAACAGATCTCCATCTCTTAACTAGTGCAAGCTAGTTCGTGTTAGTTCGTTTTAGTTTGTTTTGTACTGCAGAGGAACTGTAATGCAGGGAGACTTGAGGTATTATAAGTTACAGAGGCATTCCAAAAACACTAAGCGTTTACCATACCTTGTTAGATTTGCTAGAAAATGAGAAGTGAACGGAAAAGAAAGCAAGTAGAAGAACAGCTATATCATTCCATGGCTATAGTAGTATGTATATTATCTTCACCCTTTGTCTATCAGTGCTTATCTTCGAATTTATAAGTATATATATATATATATATATATAATTCTTTTTTTTTACGTCCACCATCACCCCCCTCCTACCCGCATGTCCGGCATACCGGGTAACAATGCATTAAGCTTTCCAGTTAAAGGCCACACATGTTCTCTGGTTGTTTACCGTTGGGCAAATTCTATCCGGCTTGTCAGTCCAGCATTTACCGGGCTTATCAGGGTTAGCCCAATTGCACTGGCTGTAATAAACCCCGAGTCCAAACAAGGCCAAAGTATCTGCAAACCAGTCAGTATGTTCGATGTCCGAGCCTCGAAAATGTGATAAAGACACCTACCGGCATTCAGTTCGGGGTATCCAATGTCGTCAGTGAAGGTCATGGCGAGCTCCCGGCAAAGAGGTCCACCGTACGCGGAGTATGTTTGTCCCTGATAGGTGATGTGTACGTCTAGAAACACAGTGTGAGCCATGAAACTTCGCTGTCACTCGGGACTTGATATTTCACGAGTCTTACCTTCGGTCGCGTAATCGCCGAGAGTCTTCTCAGAATGAGTGACTTCATGGAGCATGGTGCCGGCAGCGGCATACTCCTTCACATCTTTGAACGTCTTTCCCTTCATAGACGCAAAGGTCGAGCTCTGCCTATCGGCTATGTGGCGACCGTTCCACATTGGGAATGAGTTGGGGCAATAGACAGTCTCTTCCTTGCCCGTAAACTTGTTTTCCCAAGTGTAGCCTCTCATTGAAGGCCTTTCGTGGCATGTCATCGTATGGCTCATGTAGACTTTTTGATCTTGAATTCTCGTATCGTGATACATCCCTGTAAATTTGTACGAGTTAGTAGCATTCGGCTGGAAAAAAGGAGTATCAAGTGGACGGGTGGACATAAAACCAAGCCAATCTTTCGGAGAAAACTCACGAGATAACACCTTGCCTCCCTTGCCATCGGAAATCTCTTCATCATGCGAGTATACAAGCCAATTGTCATGGCAATTGATTATCATGTGAAAGTTGTTCTTCTTGACGTCGAGTGCGTTTCGAACACGAATGAAGGCATCTAAGGGTTTGATGTACTCGTCAGCAGGGAATTCTTGCTCCGGGTCTAGCCATGAATTCAACATACTTTTCATACTCGCCATCGTACTGATGGTATCCTGTAGAGTCCTTCTGCCAACCCCTCTCTGCAGTATCGGCTCACCAAACAAGGAACCCCAGAGAAGGAAGTTTCGGTATCTTCTGGTATACGAGGCTGAAGGCCAATGCTCGGGCTGTTCCTTGAGCCGCATTATGTCCAACAGCTCACTTATAGCCGTGACAGCTCTGGAAGCCTTTTTTTGGTAGCGTTAGAAAACAGACTTGGTTTTAGAACAGGATCTGGATACGCACCAGGTCTTTAGCTTCGCTCAGCGAACTGTCCAAGTATGTAACTTGATCATCTGAGCACGTCGATGTATAAGCGACATTGCTTCTACTGTTGGTTCCTGCACGTTTGTAGAGATAATGCGAGTCTTGCCCAAGTGCAGTCCCGTTGATAAAACCAGCGTTTACCGGGGTACCTGCAGAGGAGATTGCCGAACTGTCATCAGAAAAGGCACTTGCAAAGGTGATAAAACACAACACAAGCAGGATCTGAACGTGAGATCTCCATTGCCGTGCGAGAGCTTCAAAGGCACCCGTGGGCCGAAGCATGGCGAAAGATTGGTGGGAATGGAGCTTTTGATTGTGTCCTTTACGTGGACCAACAGTGCCGGCTGGACTTGTGTTTAAGACATATCAGTATTCCCGAGCATTAAACATAGTAACCTCGAGAATGACAGTCTAGGACTAAACAGGCGTAGCATACAGGAAACTACATGGACCCTGTAAATTCTCCTTAGCATGAAGTCCAATTTCTTTCTCTAGTCTCATGGTTTCCATAATCTCTTGGCCCCAGCGTAAAAAGGCCTTCGGCCGGTGCAAAGTCTCACCCGAGCAGTTCCTAGATCGAAGCACTTCGGACCTTTTCCTGAATCCGATAGTGGGGAACGATTCCAGATTGTACAACATAGGCCTCGACTAATGCACACGGTCTTCCGAAAATGCCGACAATTGAGGCATTGGGTTCAATAGAGACCCTAGGTGGGGCTTTGGTGACGATACATGTACAGGTATTCGCCTGTAATTTAAATGGGTTGTTGGTCCCTGAGCTAAGATCACGCCGTTGTTTTCACATCCTTGACCTACTGGGGCCAAAGGCCCCATGCCAAGAGGCACTGAATGTCACATTAGCGTGGGCTCTTCTATACCCGTAAGACCGATACCAAAGTCCCCTAGGAAAGAAATGATCTCTTGGTCCTTAAGGGAACAGAAATTTTGCAGGTTTAGGCAAAAATGGTTAACTCGATATAAGGAACCGTGCCCAGGTCGTGAAGCATTTCTTTTTTTACATCACGCTCTTTTTTTTTCCACTTTCCATTCCTTACTACACATTCGTCCTTTTCAATCAGGTTCCTTCTTTTATACCTGAAGGTCCTTCGGGGACTCGACCAACATGCTGTCATTTTCGTCGTCATGGCTACTCCTCAGCTTATTGGTTCTTAACAATGTCATTCCGTCAGCTTTGGCAGCAATGGGAAGTTGCTCCAGTACAGATAAATGTGAATCAGGATGTTGCTCCAAAGAAGGATACTGCGGCTTTGGGCCTGACTTCTGCGGAGATGATGTGTGTATTTCAGGCTGCGATGCTATAGCAGAGTGCGGTGGTATGTTGATGTTGCTTCACTTGGTATCCTCTGGCAATTAACCATTTGAATTATAGAATTTGCCAAGGTCAATGGTACTGAGTGCCCATTGAATGTTTGCTGTTCTGAATTCGGGTAAGCTATGATGGTGAATTTGAATCCTGTTCTCCTTTGCTGATTCTATAATTTCACAGCTTTTGCGGGACAACTGAGGAATTCTGCGGAACCGGTTGCCAAAGTGGTTGCGACCCTGTCAATGAACCGTAAGTATACAAGATTTTGCCGAATTGGATCTATCATTCTAATGGGAGTCATCGCTCAGATCATGTGGTGGAACGTCGAGTGAGGCCCGGTATATTGGATACTACGAGGGCTGGAATACGCAGAGACAATGCGATACTGTCACACCGGACAACATAAACGTGGTGCCCTGGACTGTATGTGCCTTACATCCGGTTATCCGACTCGTGTGCTAAGTGTCTTCAGCATCTCTACTACAGCTTCGCTTACATTGACAAATCCGATTTCACCATTACCACTATGAACGATGGTGATGAGGACTACTGGACTGAGTTCACTGCCCTGAAGAAAAAGAAGAGCTCGTTAAAGACATACCTCTCTATCGGAGGCTGGGATCTTGGTGGTGAAATCTGGTCTAACCTGTGTCGTTTCCCGGGAACACGCAGCGCCTTCATCAAATCGGTCGTTAGTACTATGAAGAAGTACGATTTTGATGGAATTGATATTGATTGGGAGTATCCTGCTGCTGAAGATCGGGGTATGTACCAGTCATTCTCGTGGATTGGTATTACTAAGTCCTCGTACTGACGCGTTGTTCGCTTTACCTTCTAGGTGGTGCCAGCAGGAATACTGCAAATCTAGTGACGTTGCTTAAAGAGTTGCGTGAAGAGGTCAAGACCACGTATGGAATCACTGTAACGCTCCCATCATCTTACTGTTGGTCAAGACCCCTTAGCTGTATATATTCTCTACTGACTGACCACTTCAGGGTACTTGAAAGGCTTTGATCTCAAAGGCATGGCCGAGTATCTCGACATTTTCAACTTTATGTCCTATGACATTCACGGCACCTGGGACGGGTCAACCAAATGGACGCAGTCTGTGGTCAATCCACACACTAACCTTACTGGTATGTTTGATTTCATTCTTTGTATCTTGCCGTATCGCCAACAAAAACTGACTATTGAGAACAGAGGTTTCTACTGGCCTGGACCTGCTATGGCGGAACAACATCGACCCTAGCAAGGTTCTATTAGGTCTGGGATTCTACGGGCGTTCCTTTGGCCTGGATGATCCCTCGTGTACATCTCCTGGCTGTGCATTTGACAAGGATCACAATAGCACCGGGGGAGCAGCTGCAGGCGAGTGCACTGCAACCAGCGGTATTCTCTCTGACTATGAGATCAATCGCATCATCGAGTCCAATGAACCTACGATCGAGTACGACGAAGAAGCCGCAGTCAACTGGATGACATGGAACAGTAACCAATGGTAAGTGGTTTTCATCGAAGACTCTACCTATGGCTAATGATGTTCCGACACCAGGGTGTCTTTTGACAACGAGCGCACGTTGAAGCAAAAGGCCGATTTTGCCAATTCCAGGTGCATGGGAGGTCTTTTCAGTTGGGCTCTGGATATGGGCGGACCTGGTTCTCTTAAAAGCCCCAACTCTATGGACACCTCAGATACCAGCATGGATGGTGCCGATGTCGAGGGTGGCAGTGACGGGACTGAAACCCTCTTTGTGGGATCTGGAGTATTTGATTCCGACTCCAATCAGGTGACAGCCATTGGGCCCGTGAATATCGTTTTCCCTTCGACAACACTGGCAACCCCGACCACAATCCCGGCGCAGGGTTTGCCCACCTCGGTCGAAGTAGCCTGGAAGACAACCAAGACTGTGACGAGCGAATCCATAACAACGGCCACCACCACCATAACCCGGTACATTCAACACACGACCATCTCAGTGCCGCCACTCACGACCAATGCCCATGGGTTCCACAACTGGAATATCACAGAGGCGAATGCTACGCAGCTTGTAGGCACTCTATGGCCCAGCATCCCCCTGCCGCCTGTTACCATCACTGACGACCCCAACCCTCTGAAAGAAACGGGTGTCTCCCATCCGGCTATCACTCGCACTGTGCATCTGCCACCGTGGCCCTGGTATACAGACAACGAGAATCCCTCCAAGGTCACCTTCACCCAAGGCAACCCTCCCGGCCCGACCTGCACGGCTAACTGCGGTCAAGTTTGCACCGAGTTCTGCGGCGGTCCCTGCCTCAACAACTGTGACGACCTTTCCTACTCTGACTTTGTGGATCCCATAGACAACAACCCACCCTCAGTTGCTCCATGCTCAGGCCCAGACTGCAAGAATGGCAAGTGCATAGGCAAACTATGCGTCCAGAAAGGCTGCACTGGAAAGGACTGCTACAGCGGCATCTGCGTAGGTGGCGACGACTGCAAGCCGACCGGATGCACAGGATCCGACTGCGACAGCGGTCATTGCTCGGGCTCCGACTGCCAGGACCATGGGTGCGTAGGCTCTGACTGCGACAGCAGTTCAGGTGGGTGCTTCGGCATTGGTTGTCTGTCATGGGGATGTCTGGGTTCACAATGCTCAAGCCATGACTTTACCTGCACAGGACCCAACTGCCGAGTCGTGAGCTGCATAGGCGAAGATTGCAAAAATGGAATCTGCACGGGCAAAGACTGCCAGTCTGAAGACTCTGACTGCGAAACCCAAGAAGCCGAGATGTGCACCGACTGGATCAGTAGCACACTTGTCACCCCGGCGTCGACCTACTCCACCGAGACCTTGACCACCGCCTGCGAGACCATCACAGCCTGCAACGCAAAGCCGACGACCGCTACCAAGACGATTGATGGAGACGACTTCATTGAAGCTACTGTGACCATCATCGAGTATGAGGAAACGCTAGATGCAGACATTGAAGCCTCGATTGAGAGCGACTGGTCTTCCTATATTTCCAGCTACTGGTCAGCCATCGATTCCACTTCCACCTCCACCACGGCAACCAAAACCACTACCGAAGGCGGAGGGACTGACCCAACGGATTCTGCAATCCCCAACTCTTTCATCATCTTCAAATACCACGAGGAAAAAGATAATGGTTTCGATCTCTCTCACAGCGATTCATACGCCTTCTATGGTGCCTACTACTCCTACCGACAGCAGATCACAGAGGACGATGTCTGCGCCCACACACGCAAAGTGACTAACTCTGTCGGTGCCAAAGGGTCGACTGAATATCCAACTGATTTGGGCTCTTTCACGCTGGGCCAGTACACTGGGTGCAAGTATACTCCAAATGGTTCCAAGCCCGGGATTGTGTCGTGCGATAACAACGAGCTGCCATTCGAATGTATAGGGTATATACATACTGGAAGCGGTAACGTAGTGGACTATTACTGCGGTCAGACTATGTCAGGGAGTGGGACAAGAACGTTCAGATCTTATAACAAGGCGGTGGAGTGTTTGGTTTATTGAAGCCTGCCTTGAGTTTAGACTTATAGCTAGATAGAAAGTATTTTTATGCAAAAATTGATGAGTTATCTCTGTATTGATGGGGATGGGAGTAAGCACTTTCCAATTTTCTAGTCTAGCATATAGTAGGAATGACCTCTCTATGAGGTCGCAGCACAGATCAATTTGGTAATATCATCCATTGAATAGCGCAAACCCATCCTTCTACCTTGAGATCACATATTCCTACATGATTGATTATTAACTAGCAAATACCACCATAAGCCTTTCAGGAATATCTACTTCAAACCAAGGGCCGATCAGCTGGAGAAATAGGTTTCCTGCGTGCTCTTCATCAGCTCGTTGACAGAGAATCTTGAATCATCTTGTCCGACCATAACATCGGCAATTTTTTTTTCTTCTTCTTTACAGCGGCCGCCGCGCTCTCGCGGCGCTAGCGGTGATATGGCGCCAATTTAGACCATGTCAATCGTGGCGATACCGCGGCGATTACTCCCGCGTATCCTTGTGTGTACCCTGCTAGCGCCGCGCTTCCATATGCCCAAAGGCAATGTGCAAACAGTGTGGAAGGTTTATAGACCATCCAAACCGTTCCTCAAATGGAACCAGCACACTTTGGAGACACCTCAAAGCAGATAAATGCCAACAGTACACGGCAGGTGCTGTGAAGCAGTATGTATCTGTTCTATTATCCCTTTTATCCAAACTTTTATACTAATAGTATTTCAAAAAGCTCGCATTACATCTACAGGGCCAGAAGAGGAGCCTTTTACCAATGAACTCTGGGAGCATGAGATTATTACTACTATTGCAGTGCTACGGCTCCCATTTTCAATCATTGAGCACCCACAGATCCAAAAGCTTATCTGTATAGCCTATAGAGCGTTATCAGTTCCACGTTTTCCATCTGCTCAGACTGCACGGCGTCAGCTAGCAGATGAGGTAAAAAGGCAATAGCAAGCAGTTCTCCAATGGCTCCCACCTAATACAAAGCTTTCAATTGCACTTGACTGCTGGAAATTCCCATTTTTTCAGGCATTTATGGCAGTTACTGGCTACTTTCTTGACTCAGAGTGAAACTACTGTGAGATTCTCCTTGGTTTTGAGCCACTCCACGGAGCCCACTCTGGTGCAAACCTAAGCACTGTTCTCTTAAAACTCCTTCAGCAGCATCAGATTACAGACTGGGTATTAGCCTTTACAACATACAGCGCCTCTAATAATAGCACATTGATGTCAAGTGTTCAAGAAGCAGTTCAGTCCCTTGATTCCAGCAATGACACTTTGATCATTCAGGTTCCATGCCTTGTGCATGTTATCCAGCTTAGTCTCAAAGAGCTACTTGGGGAGGTGAAGGCAGACCCCAAGAATAATACAACAGAGATGGAATGGATGGAGTCTTCTACAAGCTCTGTTCAACAGACCAAGGAGATAGCGAATACATTAAACAAGGTATAGTATATTAATCTCAAAAAAAGACTATTTTAACTAATAATATAATAAGGTTCGGGCATTACCTGTCTTCATTAATGCAAGCCCTCAGCGCCGGGAAGCATTCCAAAGCTTACAGTCTGAATTGCCAAAGCTTGTTCCAATTCAAGACATTCAATCCCGCTGGAACTCCACATTCTTGATGTTTCGCCGTGCCAAACAACTACAATCAACATTTGATGAGTATTGTGTTGAATATGAACAGCCTATCTAAAATTAGATACAGAGGAGTGGCGTCAGATTGAGTATCTACTGTGACGGTCTCGAGCAATATGAATCTATTGGTAGACTATCTGACGAAATTCTAACATGAGGAGAGAAAGGAAATGGGCAGGGCCTGCCGGCAACGGGCTACCTAGTGTTTGCGAGGGGTTCATGCTCAGTGAATGCCCTACTCAAATAGGCCAAAGTGGCGAAACAAGCTATACAACTAGCGTGCATCCCTGCTCCGTGACATCTTGTTGACTTCCATATACGCTGAAGACTGATTGATATGCTCGCTGCTCCGACTGACCAATCAGAGCCTGAATTGCCCACCTATTCTCGACGTACTTCCTGCTCATGCCTAATCGTATCCACAGAGGATATGATAGAGAGATAATAGGACCGGGGATTACGGCTATGCAGCCAGCATCCTTTGACTATGGCCACCGCATACA